CCCCAGCAGACACTTACCTGCATGTTCTCCCTCCAGGTGGGTGTAATGGACCCCATGCCCCCCCCAGCAGACACTTACCTGCATGTTCTCCCTCCAGGTGGGTGTAATGGACCTCCTGCCCTCATACTCCCCCAACAGACACTTATCTGCATGTTCTCCCTCCAGGTGGGTGTAATGGACCCCATGCTCCCCCAGCAGACACTTACCTGCATGTTCTCCCTCCAGGTGGGTGTAATGGACCTCCTGCCCTCATACTCCCCCAGCAGACACTTACCTGCATGTTCTCCCTCCAGGTGGGTGTAATGGACCCCATACTCCCCCAGCAGACACTTACCTGCATGTTCTCCCTCCAGGTGGGTGTAATGGACCCCATGCCCCCACAGCAGACATTTACCTGCATGTTCTCCCTCCAGGTGGGTGTAATGGACCCCATGCCCCCCCAGCAGACATTTACCTGCATGTTCTCCCTCCAGGTGGGTGTAATGGACCTCCTGCCCTCATACTCCCCCAGCAGACACTTACCTGCATGTTCTCCCTCCAGGTGGGTGTAATGGACCCCATGCCCCCCCCAGCAGACACTTACCTGCATGTTCTCCCTCCAGGTGGGTGTAATGGACCTCCTTGCCTCCCATGGCTGAGCTCAGTCCCCTCACTAGCCCAGGCAGAGCCATCTGAGCTCTAATCAGCCCTCTCATCAAACTCCCCATAGTGCAATCCGGGCGATCCCTTTACACCGCCTGCGGTCACAGCTATTGTGTCTTAATCCGGGGTGGGAGGAGGGCGGATTCCGCCCCCCAGGGAGTACTGAGGGCTAGTAACTGTGGCTAGTAGGAAAGGTTTCACGATTTATTATTAAATATGTAATTAACACCCTCTCAGCGCCCCAAAGTGATCACCCCCCTCCCACACAGTCAATCACAGCCAAGGCTAACAAACTTTCTGAAAAAACTATCCCTGAACTACAACTCCCTGCAACCATCAGTCAGTGTTTTCAATAGCAAAGCATCACGGGAGTTGTAGTTCTCCGAGGGAGACACCATTGGCCTGAGAGATGAGTTACAGTATCCATGGACTACCGCTGGACTGGAACGAGTTACATGTATCACTCAGTCACGTGACCTGGAGGGCGCTGTCAAATGCTGCGTTCTGATAGGTCCACTCGCTAAGGCTTGCTTAAAGCGGCAATCACACACGTTATCTGTGCCAGCCGCCAGAGGTTGCCGCTTTAAGTGGGCAGCAGGCGGGTCTCCGTGTCAAGGTATAACTAGTGTCGGGAAGCACAGGGGACCATAGTACAGAGAATCACCTGAACCTCAACATGGCTCCAAACCAGAGGAAAGTGTTCGTGGTGGGAGTGGGGATGACCAAGGTCAGTCCTGTGGGCAAGCATGACAGAGGGGTGGGGGTTTATAATAATAATAATAATAATACTGTGCTTTGTTATTATACAGCCTGACCCATACTGTGCCTTATTATTATTATACAGCCTGACCCTATACTGTGCCTTATTATACAGCCTGACCCTATACTGTGCCTTATTATTATACAGCCTGACCCTATACTGTGCCTTATTATTATTATTATTATTATACAGCCTGACCCTATACTGTGCCTTATTATTATTATACAGCCTGACCCTATACTGTGCCTTATTATTATACAGCCTGACCCCATACTGTGCCTTATTATACAGCCTGACCCTATACTGTGCCTTATTATTATACAGCCTGACCCTATACTGTGCCTTATTATACAGCCTGACCCTATACTGTGCCTTATTATACAGCCTGACCCTATACTGTGCCTTATTATACAGCCTGACCCTATACTGTGCCTTATTATTATACAGCCTGACCCTATACTGTGCCTTATTATTATACAGCCTGACCCTATACTGTGCCTTATTATTATACAGTGTGCCTTATTATTATACCCATACTGTGCCTTATTATTATACAGTCTGACCCATACTGTGCCTTATTATTATACAGTCTGACCCATACTGTGCCTTATTATTATACAGCCTGACCCTATACTGTGCCTTATTATTATACAGTCTGACCCTATACTGTGCCTTATTATTATTATACAGCCTGACCCTATACTGTGCCTTATTATTATACAGCCTGACCTTATACCGTGCCTTATTATTATACAGTCTGACCTTATACCGTGCCTTATTATTATACAGTCTGACCCATACTGTGCCTTATTATTATACAGTCTGACCCATACTGTGCCTTATTATTATACAGTCTGACCTTATACTTTGCATTATTATTATACAGTCTGACCTTATACTGTGCCTTATTATTATACAGTCTGACCTTATACTGTGCCTTATTATTATACAGCCTGATCCATACTGTGCCTTATTATTATACAGCCTGACCCTATACTGTGCCTTATTATTATACAGTCTGACCCATACTGTGCCTTATTATTATACAGCCTGACCCTATACTGTGCCTTATTATTATACAGTCTGACCCATACTGTGCCTTATTATTATTATTATACAGCCTGACCCTATACTGTGCCTTATTATACAGCCTGACCTATACTGTGCCTTATTATTATACAGCCTGACCCTATACTGTAGTTGGGCTGTTGCTGACCATATGCTGCATTTTTGGCAAATCATTGGGGTGGGGGTTGTAGTTGGATAAATATTTCCGGTGACCTGGAATGGGTGGATGTATAGTTTGGGCTATAACATTGTGCAGTTGATGTTTATTTACAGTGACAAGATCAACACACAGTCTTAGTCAATCTGTTAGCTGACATATAAACAAATGCATCTTTAGAGGTAATAATCAATGTCATGGTTTTCTGATAGTGCTTGGACTCTGCCCAGAATGGTAGGAATGAACTTACCTTTTATGCAAAAAAAAAAAAATGAGCATTGAGCACTTGAGCATTACGATCTCTGTTTAAGGATTTGTAATGTATCCACTTGATCCAGGTAGATTGTCGAAGGCGAATATATAATAATTTTATTTAATACGTTTTGGACTATCTACTTGGATCCAGCAATTTACTACAAACTCTTAAATGGGGAGTGTACCACTCAAGCAGTTCAAATCAGAGCAAAGTATCCGCTCCAACTGCATCTCTTTATTTATTTCCCCATATCTTATGATTAAATAACCTGCACTGAGGTCAGGTGTGAATCTCAGTCACAAGCTGTGCCTTGAAGCTTGGAAATAATTCCACAAGGAAATATTTGTCTGTGGTTGACTAAACAACGAACAGAACATACTATTGGCTAAATCTAATTATTCCAAATTTACAGTTCTACCTTACATGGCAGAGTTGTAGATGTACTCTCTCTCTTGCCTCACATGTTACTTGACACGCTATTCCTTGTGATTTCAGACTACAGTGCTTGAGAATTCCCTGTATAGCACGAGAGCTCAGTGGTTATTGCTCCAACTCTAATATCTCATAATCTCCTGTTTAATTCAAATAAAGATGAATTGCGCCTTTTATGCTTTGCAGAAGTGTCAATAATCTGAGTCCAAAATGTGCCTTAAAAAAAAATAAAATATTGAAAAACAGTCCTGCAATCCTTTCGCCCCTTTTGTGTTTCTTTAATTTTAGTTGCTAAACACAAGGAACTTATTGTCTGGTAGGAGCCATTGCAAATAGTCACATCGGATCCTTGTTCCAAAAATGTGTAAAAAAAAAAAAAAAAAAAAATTTGGGGTCAGCACTATAAGACTATTTCCTTCTATGCCACAATGAGATGTCTTCTGTCCTGCATCGCTTTGATCTGCTCTGAGTAACCATAAATCTTCTCTCTCATAGTTCTTGAAGCCTCAAGATAATTTGGATTATACAGACTTTGCCAAAGAAGCAGGTATGAAGTGTTTATATTGTCATTTTGTGTAACATGCAAACCGCCAAATTAAATCATTAGCTTCATTACATTACTTCCAAGTGGTATTGTCACCTGCATTTGTTTCCATAAAAAAGCATTTTAAACCATGGAAAGAGATCATCTCTGTAAACAATTGTCATTTGACATTATAATGTGCAATGGGCTCAAAGTGCTAGGACTGATTATGGTGTAATCTGTCCAGGATGGATGGAAATGACATTAAAGGAACACAAACCTTTATTTCTCACCCTGTATCGTTAAAGAGATAGTAGTAGGAGCTGCACTCACCCAGTGCTCTGGAGCAGGACCAGCAATCCCACAACGATATGGCAACAAAGAGATTATTCAGGCACTCAAGGTGTTGAAGCCACAGGCAGTTTTAATGAAACAAAAAGAACCGCAACATTTCGACCTCCTAAGAGGTCTTTTTCAAGCTTTGTCGCAATGTTGCTGTTCTTTTTGTTTCATTAAAACTGCCTGGGGCTTCAACACCTTGAGTGCCTGGAGAATTTTTGTTGCCTATATTGTTAAAAACACCATATCGCCCGCCCCCGTCCCTTACCTTTATTGCAGTTTGCTGTTGCTGGCTCTGCCCCTGATCTGCCTGCTTGGCTGACATCATTAGAAGTTGTGTTCGAAACCAATCACAATGCTTTTGATGTAGAATTATTAAAATCTTTACTGAACTTGTATTGAATAATTGTACTAACTCCATTTTTAATCTCACACTATGACAGAATTCTCCATTTTGTTCACCTTACATGACAGAATTTCCTGACAGTATTCAGTATAATGAATAAGAGATTGTATTTTCTCTCTCTAAGGACATGACTAGCCCCGGAGTTAGCGGATCTCCGTTGACTTGCAACATAGTATAATCCAAGGCCAGGAGAACAGCGACTAATGAAATGTTCTATTCATAAAAGAACCTTGGACCAGACCACGAGACTGACATCACTAACTACGTAAAATGATGCCCAAGCCCCCCCTTTCCACCGAGTAAGCCTCGTGCTAAAGAGCAATGGCGACGACATCCCATGATGGGAGGGTGCCTCACTAGTCACTCAAATCTCTGAGCCAATTAATAATATTAATGGGTGGACACTGACATAGCCACTTAACATTTAACCCAATTAATGATGTTTATTTGTTATTATCTGATATTCAATGATGATGTCATTTTGCATATAAAAAGGCCTGCGTGCCCACTTTTTAACTAGATGCTAATAAATTTCCTGAAGTGTTTTTAACCTGAACTGCATGTGTCAGTGTAAACTTACTTCTGCGTATACGCAATTTATTCATCTCAGATTTGGACAGGAACAGATAGACTTTTAAACATTTTTGTTTATTTCTAAATTAATCTACTACAATTGGCGCTTCCAACATGGGGCTCTGGGCTATGTCCTGTCTGGGCAGCTGTCCAAGAAGATGCTGGGTGGGTGAATCCTGGGGGAAGGAAAAGAGCCTGATCACCTCTGAGTACACGGTAGAGATTGCTGCAGCACCTAGCCGGTATGTTCCTGCCCCTGTGATTGACCTGTTCCAGTGTCTGTGACTGCTGCCGAGAGGACATCAAAGTCAGGTAATAACTTGCCCAGAGTCTTTGTATTGTTAATGATACTTAATTTACCTGCATTTAGTCTATCTGTTGCCTGGGTGTGCTAGTGGTATATGTTTTGTTCTTTCCCTCTTTTGGGATAAAGGGGGGTGGACCCGTGGGTGGTTGCCTGGGGGTCTTCTGTTGCCTGTTTTTACCCCTTTTTAGGAGTCACTTGGCCCAGACTGTTGGGGAAAAAAGGGGGGGTGGACCTGTGGGGATTTTCCAAAGGGGTCCTGTTTTCCTGTTTACTTCTTTTAGGTACTGTCTAGCTAACAGTAGTAAGGAAAAAGAAGGGTTGGGGGATCTGTGGAGGGGACTTGCCTCCTGGGGTTTCCCGGTTACGTCACTTTGATATTCTAGCTAGCCTCATTGTGTACGTTGCTCTGCTTGCAGAGGTTATGGTACCCTCCAGCTTCGAGCGCTGAGGCTGGTGGCATTCCAATTTATTTGTGGTGTGTGGATTCGGGCAGGCATTGTTGTCTCCATCACCACGGGGTAGTGTGACTTGTGGGTGGGTCCATAGGGAGCACTACGGGAGTGAGGATAGAGGTGGCCACACTTAGTGGACTGCTGTAACGAGGGAGGCATATGGATTTCGGGCCGGTGTTAGTCGTTATCCTTGGCCGCTGGTAGTGAAACTTACGAAAGTTGTTCTCCGAGCGGGGACACTACGAGATTGAGGGAGGTGGCCCACAAGAGTAAAGGAAAGGGATTACTGTTGATGCATGCACTGTATTTCAATTGAAATGTTGTATTAAATGTTGTCTTAAGTGTGGAGTCATTCAAACTCCTGGGTCTGTCTCTACTTTCACTGTTTACTTTTACTTTACTTCCTGTACTATTTACACTATCCACTCCTATTTCTCTTGAAAGAGAAGTGATTGGTCACACACTTCTCACCCCGCTCCAATCCGTGGTTACCATCGAGGGTACACGGATTCAGTGACTGGTCTACGTTTTGGGAAGACGCACTGGGAGGGACCCACCCTTCCTAGTGGCAGTCGAGCATTGTAGACGTTCTGTTTCATTTTCCTTTACCTATACTTGGGACGCTTTGTATAGGGGGATATGGGACAGGAAACGAGTAAGCCCGCTAGGGGCTGGCTCGCGTGTGATTTAGTTGAAGATAGAGAAGGTGAAGAACTGGTTAAAAATGTTGCAAAGATTGCTAAAGTGTGTAAAATTGCTGTGCCTTCATGTGGTAGATTACAACCAGAAAGTTGGCGTAGATTACTGACAGAGAAGAAAGGCAAGCTTACAGATAATGATTTATTGCGTACTGCTGAAGCATGGTACAGAGTAGAAAGGCTATCCAGCAGGAGGGTTGGGTAGAGGAAGAGATAAATCATAAAGGGTTAAGAACTGTATGTATATCATAATAATTGTGTTACTGGGAAGTTATCCCAGCCAGTGCCCTGTCGGGGGTTCCAGGAGGTGACCACTTCCATCATCCTGTCAGTAATGACCGAAATGTAGCTGACCATGGTCACCATCCCACCCCAATCTTAAAACGCTGTGGGGTTTTTGTATTTTGTGTTAGCCATTACCCTGGTAGAGGGTGGGGGTTTAAATGAAATGTGTTTTTGTGTCTCTTTGCTTTGTAATGTAATTGTCCTTCTGTCTTGTTACTGTACAGCGTTGACATGGTTAAATTCGTGCTGGCAGGCAGTCTCTCTCTTGTTCCACTCAAATCCCCCTCTGCTAAAACACCCCCCCCCTCCCCTCGCTTCTGTGAGACGCGGGGGGGAGGGGGCGGAGGGGGGTGGTGACATGCTTGCGATTTAGGTCTGTCTCTTCGGTGTTCTGTAGAGTTATTCAGAAGCTACTGATAAGATTTTAGCAATGGAATTTTTGCTAGAAAAAATATTCTAATTGTGTATTTTGTTATCTCAATAGAAATTGATAGGATGGTTAGGGAGTGAATCTGATGCAGGAATAGAAGTTATTAAGTTAGTATATGTTTCTAGAGACAGCTTTGTGGGCTGTTAGATGTATAATATTCACAACTGTCTTATTTAATCCGTCAAGTCTGTCCACAGTTCAGATTTTCATTTTGCAGAACAGAATGTTGCTTCTCTGACTTATTTTAATAGTTTTAATATAGTGTATTGTTGAAAGTGCATCAGCCACCACCTTAAAGATGGCGCCTAGTACAGAAGGAGGTTGACCCTGCCAGTCCCGTGACCTATCTACAGTCACGGTTGCTTCTAAAGTAACGTCACTTCCGCCCTTACCATGCCCACACCTCCTGTCTTCCTTTCCCACACCTATCATGGACGTCATCTCACTTCCTCCCTTGCTGTCATTTCCTTCCCCGCCCCTGTCATGGCTGCCTCCATCATGAGGCCTACCCCTATTATGCTCGTCCTATTTAGAGACATGTTGTTTTCCTTACACTCTACATATTATGAACAGAAACATTATAATTACTAAAACAATCATGCCATTTGTTTCCCTGTATCAACAATGTGTCCGTGATATAAAAAAAAAGAAGGTTGCTAAAATGTAATTTGCAAATGTGGTGTGACCTACAAATGAGATCTGTTGGACACGAATATAAGAGCATAACAGCTGATTATCCAGCTTCATCTTACAACAAGGGAAATAGCTAAATAATGCAAGTTATTTTAAACATTGTATCTTTACTTAATCGAATCTTGCTAGTTACAGATCGTATGTTTACAGTAACATCCTTTACGTTAAATGATGGTTTAGCATTAGAAGGGTTTGTGACATGTTTTATTAACCCAGCCACTACTGGTTGTTCATTTTAGTTACAGGGTGGTATAATTGTTATAGTCTAATTAATATAAATGATAGTACCGCAATAGTTAATGTTTTATCCAAAGACATATAGGAACTTTACTTCACTTACCATTATTTATAATGATAGACATGTTCAGACTGCAAAAAGCTATGGCTAATGACATAGAAAGGGGTTTGAGTCAGTAACACAGCCCATACAGAGGAGAGCAAACCCGCTGATGCTTAATGCCCCTGCCATGGCAGTGTCTACAGGGAACAAGGGGGGCCACTTGCCACTGTGACTTTACCCATTGAAGGACGAGAAACCACATTTTTAGTTGACACAGGTGCAGCCCGAAGTGTTCTGAGAGAACAAGACCTGCCAGATGCCTCATTCCTATCAGAAATAGATGTCTCTTGTGTTGGAGTGGATGGCCAACCAAGGCACAGTCCTTTAACAACCCCATTGCGAGTTGGCAATTACCCAAACTTGCTTGCTCGATTTGTAGTATCCTCCACATGCCCAATTAACCTGTTAGGTGCTGATGTCCTCTCACGCCCGCAGGCATCTATCACCTTCACCCCAGAAGGTCAAGTAGAATTGTCTACTCCCCTATCTGAATCAGATACCTCAGTTTTGTGCTCCCTACCTCTAGTGCTGCATTTAGATGAACCCCGTGGGGAAGCAAAAGAGCAGAGGTCCAATTTTTCGGATATCATCAAAACAAAGGTACCTGCAAAATTATGGTCCAAAGGCCCAGAAGACATAGGTCATCTGAGAGTTCCACCTGTGGTGGTAAAGCTCATTCCAGGAGCAAAATTACCAAGAAAACCACAATATCCTCTAAAGCCAGCTCAGGCTGCAGCTATTTCAATTCAAATCAAAGCACTTTTGGAGAAAGGTGCTCTTGTGAAGTGTGAATCAAAATGCAACACCCCATTATTTCCTGTGAAGAAGAAAACACCAAAAGGGGAACCAGAGAAGTACAGAATGGTCCAGGACCTCAGAGCTGTCAATGAAGCAACTGTCCTGGACACCCCTATTGTACCAAACCCCCACACTCTGCTATCTGGAGTTCCACCATCTGCAAAATACTTCACAGTCATTGACCTGGCTAATGCCTTCTTCAGTGTTCCACTGGATCCGACTTGCCAATACCTGTTTGCTTTCACTCATGAAATGCAACAGTATACATGGACTGTCATGCCCCAAGGGGCACAAAATTCTCCAAGTCAATTTGCTAAAGCCATGTGCTCCATCCTGGACCCATGGCAAACAGACCACCCAGAAGTTGTCCTACTTCAGTATGTGGATGATCTCCTACTTTGTGGGGATGACATACCTACAACAGAAGACTGTTCTATTAGTCTCCTTTGCTACCTAGCAGAACAAGGATGCAAAGCTTCACGTCTCAAGCTGCAATTCTGTCAGCCAACAGTAATCTTTCTTGGACATTGCCTATCTCAAGGCACCAGACATCTCACTCAGGACCGAGTCAGAGCCGTACTGGAGATTCCACCTCCAAGAACCACAAAATCTCTCCATGTTTTTTTAGGCCTCATTTCCTATTGCAGAGCATGGATCCCAGAAGCCTCTCTGCTTATGCAGCCACTCTATGATGCACTCAAGTCAGACCCATTCTGCCTGACAAATGAAGCACTGGACAATTTTAAAATTCTGAAACGTACCATTGCATCTGCTCCTGCTCTGGGCCTACCAGACTACACCAAACCCTTCAAATTATTTGTCTCTGAAAGACAAGGCCACGCCACAGGAGTGCTTACCCAAACAAATGAGTTAAGAGGCCGCCAAAGGCCTATTGGGTTTTTCTCCTGTCAGCTGGATATCGTGGCCAGAGGGGCCCCTTCATGCCTTAGGGCTGTTTTTGCTGCAAGAGAACTTATTGAGAAAACTGCAGACCTGGTCCTTGGTCATCCTCTGGTCGTATTGGCACCTCATGACATTTCTGCCATTATCAACCAAGTCCAGCTCAAACATGTGTCTCCTGCCAGACACCTGCGTTTACAGTGTCACCTCCTGCTACCTGACAACATCACCATACAAAGGTGTCAAGTTCTTAATCCGTCCACTCTTCTTCCACTCCCTGAGGGGGGTATCCACTATGGGTTTATCATGGACGAAACCTATATTTTTCTCCTCACTGGAACCATCAAGAGGATGCATCCTGATTTAACCTTTTATAAAGAACAAAAACCTCTCTGTGAGGGTCCAGGATATGCCTTCTGTACCACATGGTACAAGCCGAACATCTCTCCTGAACCTTGCTATGAAGATGAACTCTATCACTGGGTGGAGGTGAAACTCACTGCTCACGACTTCTATTGTTATTCTGAAGGCAATAGCATGGTCTTGATCGAACTACCTTCAGAACTCAAGTATTTATACCGTCATTGGGATACTGCTATTCCCCATGTCCCTGTTACCAAGTTGAAAACAAAATCATGGAATGATCTCGGGCCCATGGCGAAATTATGGGCCACCATGGATGACTCGAAGTTACAGGAAAATGGCATTGCCAAATACCCCACAACTGACCTACTTGAAGCATGGCCACGCCATTTCCTGGAAAATGACTTTAAAAGCCTGGTCATAGTAAACAACTATGACCCAGAGACTCCTCACGACTGTTTTGAACAGATGAAAATGGAGACCATACATCTACCAACGGTGCATGAGAATCCATTGACAAATCCTGATTTCACTTTGTTTGTGGATGGTTCAAGATATGCTGATGAAGAAGGAAAATACCACACAGGATATGCCGTAACCACAACAGATGAAGTTATCAAGTCATCATCTTTACCACCAGCAATGTCTGCGCAAGAAGCTGAATTACAAGCCCTGTCTTCAGCATGCAAAATCTCCGAAGGAAAACGTGCCAACATCTACACAGATTCAAGATATGCCCTAGGTGTGGCACACGACTTCGGCCTCATATGGAAGACAAGAGGATTTCTTACTACTGCCGGCACACCAGTCAAACACAGCTCTGCAATCAAAGAGCTAATGGATGCCCTCCTACTCCCTGAAGAAGTGGCCGTATTGAAAGTCAAGGCACATGGAAAGTTGGATACAGATGAAGCAAGGGGCAACCATCTGGCTGATCAGGCTGCTAAGCAAGCAGCAAGAAATTTGCAGGAAGTGGACGAAGAAGTGTCCGGTCAAGAAGAAGTTCCTGTTTTTACTTTACAGACCCTTCCTACTGATCTAAGGATTTTGCGGGAACAGCAAGCCGCAATTACCCCTGAAGAGATCCAGAAATGGAAGAAGAAAGGGGCTGTCTTAAAGGACGGAATATACTATAACAATTTCAAATTCTGCCTTCCAAAAAACTTATACCCAGCAGTTGTCCAATGGGCACATGGACCAGCACATCTGTCAAAAGATTTAATGGCCGCCCTCATCCAGAAGTATTATGAAGCCCCTGGAATAACAACATTGACGTCTAACACATAGGAAAGCATGGGATTGGCTGAGCTTGTCAAGGAGGCAGATCAGGGGCAGAGCCAGCACAGGCCAAACACAGCCCTGGCCAATCAACATCTCCTCATGGATATACATTGAATCAATGCATCTCTATGAGTAAAGTTCAGTGTCTCCATACAGAGGTTGGAGACACTGAATGTCAGTGCTTCACACTGTGCAGTACTGCCCTAGTAAGAACCTCTAGTAGCTATCTGAGGAGTGGCCAGTGGAGATATCCATTGGCTGTAATGTAAACACTGCTGTCTTTACTTAACAAAGCCTGAAGTGAGTGATTACACTTACCAGAACAAATACAATAAGCTGTTGTTGTTTTGGTAACTATAGTGTCCCTTTAATAATATAAAACCTACACTTCAATATCAGTGCAGTTGAACCTACACTTCAATATCAGTGCAATTGAAATTGGGGAAGTCTCTGGGTATCACATAACCACTATAAGCTGTAATGAGGTGATTTTGAGTGCCCCATTTATGGTCTTTGTTGATGCCATATACAAAGATGTATCATAAAAGATTACTATAAGCACCAAAACAGTATCTTAATGAAACAGTTTAGAGCAGTGATGGCGAACCTTTTTGAGCCCGAGTGCCCAAACCGCAATACATGCCAACTTTTTTTTCCTCAAAGTGCCAACATGGCAATTAAACCTGAATACTGAGGTTTAATTTTAGAAAAAAAACAACTCATACAGTTGTCCGAACTAATTAACAACTTTTGTTTTAAAAGAAGAACACAACAGAGAGTTCAATGATACAAATTTTAAATTATGATATAAATAGATAAAATTAAGCTTATATTTATTAGTATCTCCAACAAATGCAATACATACACACAGACTGCTGAACACATACACACACCGTCCGCTAAATACATACACACACCGTCCGCTAAACACACACACACACCGTCCGCTAAACACACACACAGTCCGCTAAATACGATACAGACAGATTACTGAAAACACATACAGACAGACTGCTGAATACATACACACAGTCTGCTGAATACATACACTGCTGAGTACACACACTCACAGACTGAGTACACTCACAGACTGCTGAGTACATACACACACACACAGACTGCTGAATACACACACACTGATGAATACACAGAGACTGCTGAACACATTCACACAGCGGCTGCTAAATACATTCACACACCGGCTGCTAAATAAATACACACACTGTCCGCTGAATACACATACAGACAGATTGCTGAATACACATACAGACACACTGCTGAATACATACACTGCTGAGTACACACAGACTGCTGAATACATACACTGCTGAATACACACACACACACACACAGACTGCTGAATGCATACACACACACACACACACAGACTGCTGAATGCATACACACACACACACACACACACACACACACACACAGACTGCTGAATGCATACACACACACACACAGACTGCTGAATGCATACACACACACACACAGACTGCTGAATGCATACACAGACACACAGACTGCTGAATACATACACTGCTTAGTGAATACACACACACTGCTGAGTACACACACACACACACAGAGACTGCTGAGTATACACACACACAGAGACTGCTGAGTATACACCTACATACTGCATTGAGGGGTGCAGTGTTTGTGTGTGGGGTTAGGGGTGCTGTGTGGGGTTAGGGGTGCTGTGTGGGGTTAGGGGTGCTGTGTGGGGGTAGGGGTGCTGTGGGGGTAGGGGTGCTGTGGGGGTAGGGGTGCTGTGGGGGTAGGGGTGCTGTGCTTAATTCTGTATTCCCCCCTCCCTTCCTCCGGTGGTGGTAAGTATTGTAGGAAGCAGCTCTCCTATCCTCCCGCGCTATGCTGTGTGGAGCGTTGCCATGGTAACACGCGTCAACGCTCCACACAGCTTGCTCGCAGGAGGATAGGAGAGCTACTTCCTGGAGCCCTCCCCCTGCCTCCCGACCCGGAAGCAGAGTAGACGCCCTTCTAAAGCAAGATAACATCTGAATTATTTTTTTTTATTTTTTTATACTCCTCATGTAGGCTGTGTCAGTCAAAGCCAGGGGAGGTGTGGCTAGGGCTGCATGCAGGGCCAGATTAAGAGCCCAGTGGGTCTGGTGCTGACAATTATTATGGGGCCTAATTACAGAATCTTATCGACCAAAACCACTAAAACAGTCATACCTCTCAAGCGTCATGTATCTGATTGAGTTGGTGTTGGAGGGAAACTCAAAGGATGCAGCTATAAGAAAACACATACTCTACGCTAATCTCTTTATCTAATTTATGCTTTCATTTTTCAAGTAAATCCATACCCCCTAACACCAGTGTCCAGTGAAGCAGGAAGTCAATTGGCAGGGTAAAAGGGTGGACCACTCACATGAATCATGTGACCAGAACTGCCAAAAGGGCAAACATGTCCAAAAAGGGGGCATGTCTGTCAAAAGAATTGGCCAGCCTGGCATCAGTGTCCTTATGTATCAGTGTCAGTGTCCCTCATGTCGCCCAGTCCCCTAGTCTCCCAGTGTCTGTGTCTCCATTTCTCCCAGTGTCCACATGTCTCAGTGTGTCACTAGGATACTACGGGACACTGGGAGACATGGGGACACAGACACTGGGAGACTAGGGGACACTGGCTGGTAGGCATGGGGACACACACTTGGGGACACATGGTAGACCTGGGGCACTTGTGGACATAGACATGGGGACACTAGGGACACAGACACTGGCTGGGAGACATGGGGACACTGGGAGACTGGCTGGGAGACATGGGGACAGACATTGAGAGACTAGGGGACACAGACACTAGGGACACTGGCTGGGAGACATGGAGACACTGTGTCCCTAGTGTCTTCATGTCCCAATGTGTCTCACAGCGTCCCAGTATCCTCATGTTTCCCAGTGTCCCCACATCTCCCAGTGTCTCATTGTCCCCATGTGTCCCCTAGTGTCTGTGTCCCCATGTCTCCCTGCTGCCTTCCCCCCCCCATCCTTCACATACCTGGCCTGTAGTCTGTCTCTGCAGGCTGGGAGCGGCTGTCTGGACTCTCTCTGCTGTGTAGCTGTTCCCCTGCGGATCAGTAAGTAGAGAGAAGCAGGGAGATGCTGCAACTTCCTATCCCTGCCTCTCTCCATACACAGTGACTACTGGCCGGTGCTGGTATTGCAGAATAATCTCAGTTTATACTGAGACAAATCTTTGCATTTGTATTGCCGGTATTACTGCAATACCGTCATGGCCAGGCAGCCTCAAATACCGTCTGTGCCTTAAAATACCAGTCAGGTGGCAAACCTAAGAGTAGTGTGGCAAACCTAAGAGTAAATGGGCCTATTCCATGGGCCTGGGCCTGGAGCTGCAGCTCCATCAGCCCCTATGTTAATCCGGGCCTTGGCTGCATGGACATAAACAAAAGTGACTTACCTCCTAAATGGCAGCAAATTGAGCAGGGAGACTACAGGGGCCTGATCTGTATACACAAACTGCTTCATTAAGCTAAATGTTTTGACGACTATAGTGTCTCTATTAAATTGGTAAAAGGGGGAGGATTAAAGTCATGTTCTAAGTCTTTTACACTGTAAGCATGGTAACCACTTTAATATAATTTAAATACATATGCCGTTTTATGTAGTTGGCGACTACAAAATAATTTACAGTTGTATCTCCTGCGTTGCTCAGTTACAGCCTGTGGAAAATCTGAATATTGTACTGCAGAATTTAAAGCCAATGAGTGCCACTAGCACAACTGGGCTTGGCTCAATGCAGCTGGACTCGTTTAATATTTGTTTCACAATCAAATTTGGCTTAAATTTTTAAGCGTCAAATAACCTAATGTGAAGGTAGATAATTTGTGACAAAAAGCAGTTGATGTGTCTGAAAATCTGCAATTTGAATGAACACTGTAGGGTCAGGAACACAAATCTGTATTTTTGCCCCTACAGTGTTAAAACCACCATCTAGCCCCCTGGCACTCCCTTGCCCTACTAAATCTTACCTTTATTTCAGTCTACTACTGCTGGCTCTACCCCTGATCTGCCTGTTTGGCTGACATCAGAAGTGAAAACATTGGATTGGCTGAGATTGTCAAGAAGGCAGATCAGCAGGCGAGTCAGCACAAGCCAAACACAGCCCTGACCAATCAGCATCTCCTCATAGAAATGCATTGGATCAATGCTTCTCTATGAGAAAAGTTCAGTGTCTCCATACACACTGTGCAGCACTGCTCCTGGAAGCACCTCTAGCAGCCATCTGAGGAGTGGCCAGTGAAGTTATCACTAGGCTGTAATGTAAACACTGCATTTTCTCTGAAAATACAGTGTTTACTGCAAAAAGCCTGAAGGGAATGATTATACTCACCAGAACAAATTCAATAAGCTGAAGTTGGTCTGGTGAATATATATATATCCCTTTAATAAAATTCTTGCACCCCTTGATATGTAATGTTAGTTTGATTTATTTTTTATTTGGTTCTACTGAATATAATTTAGAACAGCTTTAAATATTCACCATTACTTTCTGGAATAAGTGGAGAATACTCTATTCTTTATACCATAAATCTAACCTGGGAATGATTTTTATTCTCTCGGACAGGTCAGATGGCTCTGAATGATGCTGGAATTCCATATTCTGCAGTGGAGCAGGCATGCGTAGGATATGTGTATGGTAAGTTATATCTTTGGCCTGTGTCTCTTTCGTGGTATATCATGTTTTATATTCTCTTATGGTAAAATGACTGGAGTAATGTTAATTCTCAATTACCCGTGTAATAAATAAAGCCATGTGTATCAAGGAAAATTCTAGGACAAAGTTCTACATATTGAGCAGTCCCCCAAAATAATGTTACATAGGTTGAAAATGACTTGCATCAATCAAGTTTAGACTTTCTCAAATCTGTTTTTGCTGTTGATCCAAAAGAAAGCTAAAAAAAAAAACAAAAAAAAAAAGTTTGAAGTGCTTTGAATTTTGCAACAAGCAAGCATAAAATTCCTTATTGACCCGAGAATGGCAGTCAGATCTCTCCTTGCATCAAGAAGCTTTTTCCCCACCTATTAAACCATATTTTCCTGAATATTCTGTTTTTTCAAGTATTCATCCAGTTGCTGTATAAACAACTGCACAGATTCTGATAAAGCCACCTGTTCAGGCAGAGTTCGCATCCTATGTATAGTCTTGTTTATGAACAGATTTCCAGACAATGGTTTTTATTGGTCCTGAATATATTTGTAAAATGTGATCATATCCCCTCTAAGATGCAATTTTTCTAAACTAAATTCATTTGAATTTGTTAGCCTGTCTTCATAACTAAAATGTTCCATTCCTTTTATAAATTTTGTAGCCCGCCTCTGCACTTTTTTAGTGGCAAAATATCCTTCTTTAGAACAGGTGACCAAAATTGCACAGCATATTCAAAGTATGGTCTTACCAGGGATTTATAAAGAAGCAAAATTATATTCTCATCAAGCGAATTAATGCCCCTTTTTATACATGATAATACCTTACTAGCCTTAGCAACTGCCGATTGACAGTATAGTATATATAGTCACCAGAACAACTACAGATTATGGTATTTGTTTTGGTGAGTGGGTCAGTCCCTGCAGGTTTTTTAATGTAAACAATGCCTTTTAAGAGAAAATGCATTGTTTACATTATTCCCTAGTAACACCGCCAGTGGCAGTAACTCAGACCGCCACTAGAGGTGTTTCCTGGGCTTACGTTTAGCGTTTCCACACTCTGCAGTCGAGGTGATGAACTTTCCCCATAGAGATGCATTGATTCAAAGCATCTCTACGAGGAGATGCTGATTGGCACAGCGTTTTTCTGCGAATGTGTGATTGCCTCTCAATGCTTTTCCTGCAGGAAAGCAATGGATTGGCTGGGATCATAAAGTTTGATTTCAGCCAAGGGGACGGGCCAGCAGCAACCAGACCTGCGTGGCACTGGAAAAGGGAGCAAAACACCTTATTAACCGGACGTACACTATAAATGACCACTCTCTTTAAGCCAATGTTCTACCCACTAACAAGAATTTTCATCTAGAACACAAGTTCTTTTAGTTTGAACACTAACCTAATGTGTGAAACCATATCGAACGCCTCTTGCTGATCAATAACATTTAGCACTTTCTGCAGAATTGTTCCAGTTTTTGCCATTCTAACCCATTGTCTTTTTTTTTTTTCCCTCTCTTCTGGTGTAGGTGATTCCACATGTGGGCAACGTGCAATCTATCACAGTTTGGGGCTGACTGGGATTCCCATTATCAATGTCAACAATAACTGCTCTACCGGGTCCACAGCACTCTTCATGGCCAGGCAGCTGGTGCAGGGAGGTGAGAATCAATTCGGGTCCACTGCAAGTAGCACTACAGGGGTACACAAATTGCTCAGTGTTTCTCTAATCTCTGTTGTCTAGGATGATTTCTTAACCTATATAATGTTCCCAAATACTGTTCTTGGCAAGAGGCCCTACAATATAAGCGTCCCTCTGTCCATGTTTCTGATAACTTGGAATCTTGGACTGAACAGGAGTTAATAAATACTGGATAAAAAGCTTTCATGTGGATAAGAGGGAATATTATTCTAGCCCTATTCATGGGTCCCTATCGCTGCATGTCCTAAAGGGCTGGTAGATAAAGAAACAGTGTTATCAAGTAGCCTTTATTTAACCCAAGAGAGCCAGATCCCTATTGCTGTCTGTGTCTGTAGATACTACCTTTTTTGTGTTCTCTTTCCTATGCAGTGGTTTCAGAATGTAAAATGTTCTTAGAATTGGATATTCAGAGCCGCATTAATTCAGCAGTCCGCAATAGGGTTGCACGCCAGTGCCACTGAGTAGCAGTGCTTTGTCAATTCCAAATTTTACTTTGTGTTCCTTAGGACTATGTGACTGTGCCTTGGCTCTTGGTTTTGAGAAGATGGAGCGTGGGTCTCTATCATCCAAGGTAACGCCTGTTTTAGTATAAGCGTTGGTGGAATTATCTGCATGTCATAGATGGGGATGATTGCGCTGCGGCTGTACCAAATTCTGAGTTGGTAGATCAAAAAGCATACATAATTGAGCCAAAACCAATAAGGGGGGGAGGGGAAAAGCCATAACAGTGCAAAATTTGTGTAAAAAAAAACAAAACACAAAACAAACCTTTTAATGCTTCATAGTTAAAATTGTGGCTTGGCCCAGAATTAGGCGAAGACGCTACCACTTTAATGCCAAAGAATTTTGTGCCATAATCGGTTAAAATTATATTTAAAACCTAAAGTATATGAAAAGTTACAGAATCTGTTGCTGGTACTGAAAGTAATTTTTATTTTTATCTGTACATCGAAAAACATACAGGATTTGATTATTGTCTTGTTTGCAAAACGAACATCGGCAAGCTACATAAAGATCTAGTAACCATTGTAGGGGAGAGGTCATACATGTATATAATCTACTTCGACTGTACAAAACTATAATAAGAATAGATCTGGATTAGTGATCAGACAGTCTCAGAAAATATGCAGGGCAGAGGTTAACAAACACTGTACACCAGCAAAAGCTAATAAAATTAAAGGATGAGTCAACGATTACAAAATCACATAGCAGAAAGCTCACAGGTGTTTAAAGTGAATGTCTAATGTGAGGTTGTGTGTGTGTGGTGGTTTTTCTCTGTTCTACAAACCAAACATTCTCAATGATATAAGGGAAAAAGAAAGTAAGCTAAATAATGTTTCCTTCTAAATACATGGAATGTCTGTCCTGTTACCGCGTTTCTCCCCTCCAGTTACCCCTTGTCTTCCCCAAAATTAACCTTTCTTTCTTCTATTACTGTAGTATACTGACCGGACCAACCCTATGGACAAGCACATGGAGGTGATCATAAATAAGTATGGCTTGGCACCTATTCCTGTAGCTCCTCAGATGTTTGGTTCTGCTGGTAGAGAACATATGGAAAAATATGGTAATTTCTTCTTAATAACCAAAAGTAATGTGTCTTCTAGACCCAGAGTGAGTGGCTAATACCTGTTTTCTGACTTCTGTCAGCCTGTTTAAAGTGGATTTGTCCCCACCTGAGATTTACCTTATTAAACTTGTGCTACTCAGTCAGTCTTTCCTTTTTTCCTTTTTTCTTCAGTTTTTTTCTTCTGAAATGGGTAATTATCCACCTACCTGAACCGAGCTTATGTTTCCCATCTCTTAACTCTTCATGCAACTCCTCCCAAACTTATTCTTCACTACAGTGTCAATTGTTAGGAATTCAAATAGAGCTATTCATCAAATTTTTGCGAATTGCCAGTAAATACAGTTATGACCAAATCATGGCAAAAATAGCCAAGTTGGGAATATTGCGGAGTTGGAGACTCAATGCTTCAGGTTTTGTTTTGTTTTTCTTACTTTTTTTGGGGGGGAGGGGGGGTTTCTCCAAATTCCAATCAGTTTACTGAATAGCAATGAAAAGAAATTTCACATTTTAGGCTGCAATAGCCCTAATTATCTTGTTCTAGTAGCTTTAAAAATGCACATTGAATTTCCAACAATTCACAGTTTAATGAAGAACCCTGACCAAGTTCTGCGAATTGAGCCATTCTGATGCAGATTTTAAAATTTGAATAAAGTGGATCTGTCAACTTCACACCGTCGCATGTTTTTCATATAGTTTTCATATGCCTTTTGCAAAAGCCCAAAATTTCAAGTTCTAGGTCACTTGCTTAGCACATGTTGCCTATATAATCATTCTCAAGCAACACTCTCAAACAGGTGTGTTCGACATTGGACCTCCTGATAATGAAATTTCTTTCCCATTTATTTATTTTTCGCTAGTTAGTCAAAAAATGACACCGAAATGGTTGGTTTTTCACGAAGGTGAGATTTGTAGGAATTTTTAAAGTGAATGTCAAATTTTAGACAAAAACGGCCAACTCTAAGCATAGATGACTTGATGATTTTGGCATTAAATTTGAAATGCTCTTTGAATTCTGAAGAATTGTCACTTTAGTTAATAGCTCTATGACTGGCAGAAGGTTTTTAGAAAAGTACATACATTTTGCGCAGTTTCCAGCTAACAAAATTCAACTTGTATAAACTTCAATTCCATCTCCTTTTTGAATACTAGATTATATCAAATGAGGGGGAATGTTTTTGTTTTAATTGGATTTCTATAGAGGGTAGACTATTTCAGAATGTTTGTTTTTATGGGATGTTTCATGGAACTGAAAGTCATAATCTGAACAAACTCATTTCTGCACCAATTTACTCCAGTTTAAAGTCACGTTGCTGTTGAATTCTATAATACACCCATATTCAGTGTGTACACTGCTGTTTATTGCGCTTTGCACTGGTACACAATGCACATTACTTTGTTTAGTACTGTAGATCTCTAATACATTTGTGTACACTGCACAGTACATGATACATTCACAAACTGCACATTACTGTTGGCTTATTTGCTCTGTTACTCTCCTAAACCAAACGTTCTAAGCCGTCCTACAACAAAAGTGCAGTGAGATTTGGGCTCCAAAGAGGAACTGTCCCTTCTAAAGCAGTTCTCTGGATTTTAAAAAATTCATTATTTATGAGCATGGGATGATACATAAGACAGCGACATTTAAATATCGCCAAATGCAGTGAAAAATACAGACATGTATACATGAACTGCTTTATCTTTTTATTATGATTTATATATATATATATTTTTTTTATTTTCTTAATTTTTATAGTTTTGCGTGGACTCAGGACATACTTGAAAATGAGAGAAATCTCAATGTATCTTTCCTGGTAAAATATTTTATAAATAAATAAATAATATACAATTGTAACGGACCCCTTCGTTACAGGGACCGCTTCCTAGCTGGAACAGGGGAACCGATAGGTGAACTAGCTCTCAGTCCTTATAAGGACTTACCTTGCTGCGACAAGCTGGCCCAGGGATTAACCCTTTCTCCCCCCTCCCAGTAACTGGACAACACCTAGTTCTGGAGGTACAACTCTCTGATAATCTTTATTGCACAGACCAGCGCAGGGAGTCTCCACTCTTTCAATACACTTTCCTTTGTCCCAGGCAGGAGAGGGGGGTTGGTTACAGATAACCATCTCCCACTCTGGGAGATACCAACAGGACACCGTTACATACATTAAAACATATTACACACGGGTGGAAACTGAGGGGCTCTGCGCCCCAGGAAGGGGTCACACATGTAGAACGTATATCCCTGGATAGCCCTGTTTCCCAACTAGGGTCCCTGCAAATAGAGGGGCTATCGGATGCATCCCCGAAAATAGTTCCACAGCGTTGTTTAGTAAACTTCGCTCCTAAACCATACAATAGCCAATCAGATGAAAGGCACGAAACAAATTTTCACCAATCAGCACACAGGATGTAGAGGGGTTTCACCGCTCAATCAGGAGAAAGGGTGTGAAACCCAGTTTGAATAGGCGCTCCTTCTCTGATTGGTTGATGCAGGAGACCAATCAGCTCACACTCGTGCCGATCCATCAGAAGAATGGCTGTGAAGCCGATTTCACAGCTCCAGGGTCTTCGCTGGGGCTCGCGCCTCTCTTCGGTGGCTGCCTACACTTAGGAAGCCTCGCAGCTCCCCGGTAGGGGAGTAGTGATTACAGGTCCGTTAGGAGCAGGTAGGGCGATCCATACCGCCAGTACCCCAACCCCCAGTGTGAAGACCCCGCAAGGGATACCAATGCTCCCCCCCCCCCCCGGGTGGCGTTCGCCTATACAAATGGCGGCCACCGAGGGGAGCACTTATTAATTACTTCCCTTGTGGTTTCACACTTATGTTGCAGGTGTGAACATTCTGATTTATTGGTGTAAACATTCTAATGGGGTACCAGGGTGGTCCGCGTTCAGGAGACAAACGGGTTATGTTCACGTGAGCACTACGAAGGTCAACAGGGTATATAACACGAAATACATGGGGAACCGTACATTACACAGGGGAAAACCAACGAATAAGCAGTGGGCATGGTACTCAGTGACAGCAGTCCGTCACAACAATGCTAATAGATGAAATAGAAAAGGAAGAAAAAGTAAGCCGATCGCTTTGCATGCTACTTTACCGACAAGATTGAACAGCTAAGTTCTTTCTCAAACATACGTTGATCATGCCTTTCCTACCCTTGAGACTTTCTCCCTGGCTACTGCGCTTCTCCTTTCATCACGCCCCACCACTTGCCCACTCGATCCTGTACCATCTCACCTTATAAAATCTCTCTCCCCCTGTCTTGTGTCTTCCTTAACACACCTCTTCAACTGCTCACTCTCTTCTGGCGTTGTGCCTGCTGACCGTAAACATGCCACTGTAGTACCGATCCTGAAAAAAAACAAAACATCTCTTGACCCTTCCTCCCCCCTCTATCGTCTCATATCCCTGCTCCCTTTTTCCTCAAAGCTTGTCTCACTTCCTCAAGTCCAACTCTCCTTTACCCTCTTCAATCCGGCTTCCGCCCTCCCCACTCTAATGAGACTGCTCTTATCAAACTGACTAACTACCTAATCGCAGTTAAATCCAAAGGCGACTATTCCATACTAATTCTTCTTGACCTTTGCTGCCTTTTATAACCATTGATGATGCTCTCCTTCTTCAAACTCTTCAATCACTTGGTCTCTGTGACTCTGTTCTCTCGTGGTTTTCCTCTTATCTCTTCCAACGCTCATTCAGTGTCTCCTTTTCTAATGATACCTCCTGTCCTTTGTCCCCTTCTAATTTTTTTTTATATATCTTTATACTGTCTCTCTTGGCAAACTTATTGCATCATTTGGATTCCACTACCACCTGTACGGTGATGACACCCAGATATATCTCTCCTCCCCAGACCTCTCCCCTGCTGTCCTGCAACGTGTCACTGCTTGCTGTTCTTCCATCTCTGACTGGATGTCCTCGCGCTTTCTGAAACTCAATCTCTCTAAAACTGAGCTCCTTGTCTTTCCTCCTCCTCTTTCGCTCTCCCTTCAAGTTAGTGGTATCTACATAAGTCCATCCTTGCAAGCGCACTGTCTTGGCGTTATACTTGATTCTGGCCTCACATCCAGTTTGTTGCCAAATCCTGTAGATTCCACCTTTAAAAACATAGCACGCATCCGCCCCTTTCTTACACAAGATACTACCAATGAGCTTATCCATGCTCTAGTAATTTCCCGCATGGATTATTGTAACCCTCTCCGAACTGTTCTGCTCAAAAGCCGTATTGCCCCGCTACAGTCTGTAATGAATGCTGCCGCCAGACTGATTTTCCTCTCTAGTCGGTCCTCTCACACTTCACCCCTCTGTCAGTCTTTACATTGGCTTCCTGTATCCTATAGGAATCAATTCAGAGTGCTAACCCATACCTATAAAGCACTGACCAATTCTAGCCCCTCTTATATCTCTTCACAGATCCATAGGTATGCCCCTTCTCGATCTCTCAGCTCTGCTCGTGACCTTCTCCTGTCCGCTGCTCGCACCCGTACGGTCAACTCACGCTTGCAGGACTTATCGTGGGCAGCTCCCTTCCTGTGGAAAAGCCTGTCTACCGCCATCAGACTCTCCCCTAGTCTTCAATCATTTAAGAAGTGCCTTAAAATCCATAGGAAAGCTTGTAACCTCTACCTCACACCTACCTGTCCCTTGCCCCTTTGCCCTCTCCTAAAGGGTAGCACTTTACTCTCTCCTCCAGCTCTGCTTCACTCCCACCTTATTTGATTGCTATTTCCTGTCCTAATGTGTTTTATACCCCACCTCCTATAGAATTGTCCTATTTATAGATAAATCTTATAATATTGTAAAGCGCTACGGAATCTGCTGGCGCTATAAAAATGGCAATAATAGAGTTTAAAGAAAAGGGGGGAAAAAAAGAGGGGGTTAAGAAAGGTTTTCTCCCGCAGGTCCAGCAAAGCTAGTGAAAGTTGATAAGGAGTAGGCTATTTTCTGTTCTTTAACAGTTTCCATTATTCAATTTTTCTTATTTAATCTGATACCATGTTCTGCCATAATGACTCTCACCCCACAGGCACCAAGAAGGAACACTTTGCCAAGATCGCATGGAAGAATCACAAACATTCTGTTAATAACCCGTAAGTGTTGTGGGTCACCGAGCATAAAGCTTGAGCACACCAGCATACCGAGGGTCCATGGAATGGTGGGTGTGGCTTACGGCTTCCTCTGCCAAAGGACTATTCTAAAAGTATATGTCTGCACCTACATTTTATCCATACTCCACCCACATTAATTGATGCCACGCCCATTGAGTTTAATTCTTTAAAGTTAGGGGAAAATCTGTAGTTGTTCCTAGTCTCATTTGTGTTGCACATCCACTGTGAATATAAGGTTTAAGTGATACTCTCTGGTCTATTTATTTCGTTTTTTTTGTTTGTCACAATTTTTATAGGAACTCTCAGTTCCGTGACGAGTACAGCTTGGATCAAGTGCTGAATTCCAGGAAAATCTTTGAATACCTGACTATACTTCAGTGCTGGTACTAGAAATTAATGTGTTTGTAGTTTTGTTTGTGGAAATGTACTTGTATCTTTTTATTAGAATCTTTTTTTTTTTTTTTTTTTTTATGGCGGTGACGGGTTAGGTTTGTGTGTTCTGTGAAAACTTAGACCTCACTTTAATATTGTTTGATAATTTGCAAATTATTCAATATTTTTGGAATAAGCTTTTAAAATTAATTTTTTTTAATTAATACAATTATAAAATATATATATATATATCTCAAAATAATACATTTTGAATATTTTTCATAATATTAAATGCATTTTAAAAGTTGATTTAAAAAATATGAAATCACTTGGAAAGTGTGTGGGGTTTTTTTTAACCAGTAAACTGAGAAATCTAGCACTATGACCTTCCGTATGTTATGTGGAAATCAAAAATATTTTAAATCTGACTTCTAAACTAGTCCGTTTGTTTGTTTTCCTCCCTGATGCCACGTGGATATGTTAATATGTGGAAAGCCTTTTTTCTAAATCTGTTCTTGGTCTCAAGACTTCCCAAGTGGATCAGAGATCTGTTAATTAATATAATGAGCACACATGCTGAACACACCATACACCGGTCTCCAGTCAAAACCACAAACTGGAAGGCTTCCTGATATGGGAGTTGTCATGGAAAAAAATGTTTTTTTTTTTGTTGTCTTCCATCCAGTGTGAGCTGCTGTGTTCCCTGAGTATTCTACAGATGTATGACTGAGAACACTGGCAGCAGGTTGATTAGCACTTCTTCCATTGGGCAGGATATTCTCAAAATAAGCCAAATGAGGAAAACAATCTTTAATATCTCTTAAAGGGTTATGGTCATTACAACTTTGCATAGTAGCCCTAGTTAATATGTATGTGCTGCAATATATCAGAAGTATATGATTCACTATATTTCTCGTTTAAAGTGCCAGTTGTTAGAGCAACCGCTATCTTGATATAGCTGTGGCTATCTTTTATAAATGCTTCTTTTTGAGTGGGTCAGCAACACGTTACTCTGTTTCTCAAGACCACTTCGATTGGACTCCACTCGTTTGTGACAACTTTTTTTTTAAATTTATTTTGAAACCCACAGCCCAACCTCTGATGGTGCTGCTGCTGCCATTGTAGTGAGTGAAGATTTTGTGCGCAAGCACAGGCTGGAGGGACAAGCCGTGGAGATCCTGGCACAGGAAATGGTCACTGATACCAGAAGTACATTTGAAGAAGAAAGCTGCATAAAGGCGGTAAGAATAACCACTCTGGGTACCGTAACTGCTACATTGCATTTAAATTGTTTTGGTGCCAAGAGGTCCCATGCACCATCTTACCTGAAGGTGTTAAACCATTAATAAACAATTTAACCTGAAAGCCAGCGCTCAATCACTCTACCCCTCCACTTTCTCTTAAGGGTTGAAGCCTCGAACCAAGCGCTGATTAGACAAATTGCAGGGGCAGAAAGTTTGGGCAGTGGCTTTCAGACTTTGGGGTTAAACCAGGGTAAGTAGAGTTCCCAGGGACCTCTTTGTACCATAACAACTTAATTACAATTAATTTATCATGGTGCCCACCCTGTTCCTTTAAAGTGGGACATTGTTCCATGACCAGGCTTGATTGTCTATAAAATTCATAAGTTTCTCTACTTCTTACTGTTAAGTGCCTGATCCATCTGCCGTTTTCACAGTAGCCTGAAGAGTTGGCTCCACCATACGAAGTCAACCATACGGTGATAAAAGACAAATCCAGTATTGAATTTGCAGATTCCCGTTCTTGATTTTTACCACAACCTACTCTATTGCCTTCTAATTTTAGAGTGTTTGACTTCTGTGACTATAAGATCACCTTTCTCCCTAATCTACTTGCCTTTGGCTAACTTTCACTCGTGTGGCTTCCAGTCTGCCACAGCATTCTTTTCCACTTATGGATATGGAATGGTGTCACCTAGAATATTTTGTGGTGCCTAAATTACTGTTTCGCTCTATACTCTGAAAGGTTCTCTTATTTCCCACCCATTCTAGGTTGGGTTTGACATGTCCAGACTTGCTGCTGAGAAATGCTTCACGAAAACTGGCTTAAGACCAGAAGACGTAGATGTGATTGAACTTCATGACTGTTTCTCTGCTAATGAGCTCATCACATACGAGGCACTAGGGCTTTGCCCCATAGGTAATTGGCAAGCACTGCCTAACCATCGTTGTGCAGGAGAACTCCTTTATCCAACAACTGCTACCTGCTGCCCTTCTTACTAACCCTGCTCCATGTTCTGTAGGTCAAGCTGGAGCTCTGATTGACCGAGGAGACAATACATATGGCGGTCGATGGGTAATTAATCCTAGTGGAGGTTTGATCTCTAAAGGCCACCCACTTGGAGCAACAGGTTAGAAATGTACACGTTCAATTTCAAAATACGCAAACCTGGTATAATCTAGAATTGTATTTTTGGGTTGAGGGGGAAAGTAGCAGAAACTTCTAATGAAAAGTTGTAGTGACGAGAGAGAGAGAGTGTGTGTGTCTGTCTGTCTGTCTTTCTTAACCCAACATGGAAGATAACTGAGTCTTTCCCTCCTCTCCTGTCTATTTAAAAAAAAAAAATATATATATATATATATATATATATATAATATAAATGTTTTTTTTGTTTGTTTTTTTTAATTTTTTTATTTGAGCTAAAAAGTTTCCTATTCCTTCACGGTGTATTATGGAAGAAAAATGCATACATTACTAATAACATGCCATATCTATATTAAAATGTGGCACAAACAATGATGTGAATCATCCCACTTTTATAATAATTTTTTTTATTTTTTTTTGTCAAATCCAGAACACGTAGTGAAGCGCTGAGGGTATACTGGTGAGATAAAGATAGTACTGAAATCATACCAAGAGATATGATACAAATCCATAACGAGGGATTGCACTGCTCATGCACATGAGTTGGAGTTAAACTATAGCTCCATAAAGTGTAGGTGCATCTCATTATCCTGTTCCCTTAGTGATTACAGATATATTGCACGATCCATTTCTTCTTTTGTCCCATTAATATCATTCCATGCTACTACTCGTAAGGACCCCTAAAAGTGCTTCTTCCAACTCCTTTTGTGAGTAATTTTTTTTTTTTAATGTTTGCAATGAAAATACAGTAAGTCTCTTTCCACTAAGCTTAGGTCGAGTTAGTGCAAAGCAGGTAATGTTTGCTGCTGACAGAGTTGGAGAATGTGTGTGTGTGTGTGTTGTGTTGTGTTGTGTTGTGTTGTTTTTTTTGTTTTTGTTTTTTCTCGATCATATCCAAAGAGGTACAAGGCTTTCATAAAAACTGGTTCTCTGTCACCACTCCCATGGCTTCATAAAAAACAAGGTTATGGTACCCACAATCTCCTTGCATCATGACCCTTTGCTGTTTATCCTTCCTCGTCATTATTTATCTCTCTCTAAAAAGAAGGAGAGAAAATTGGATCTTGCATTTTAGAACATTTGGTTAATTAGAGTTTGGTTGTCTCTGATAATGGTACCTGCAGTATCCCTTTAAACTGACACCCAAAAAGATTTTTTTGGCAGACCTCTACTCCTAAAGGAACATTCCAAATGGGGAGGGAGGGAAGGAACTGTTAAGTAGATATACCCCCAAAGAGATCAGAGTGGAGGGTGAGGGGGAGGAATCAATAGGACAAGGTACAATGGAGCCGTATGAACATGAGCATGCTCATAGGGTCATTAGGACTTGTGGGAGAAGACAGGTGTGCTTTAGCCGATGTTGTGGATCGTATGTAAGAGGGAAAATGCCTCCCCCTGATGTCTGATAGCCACGGAGGTATTGCTTAGTTGATTTATAAAAATGTCAATATCACTTAGAAATAGGCACTCTTATAAAGTACACTTAGCATGGGATACTCATTACACAAGCAAGCTTGCGTGTGTTTGAGTGTGGAGTGATTCTTTAACCATACTATACAATGTTTATGCATTTTATAGCTAAATTAGCTTTAGGGTTATGACGCCATTTCATCTGTCATGCACATTTTTTTTTTTTTTCTTTATTTTTGAACGTGCATGAGATTACAATACCTCCTGCATTGCCACAACAGCAAATGCGAGGATTTGCAGTACATTCAATGATACATGTAGGTTGACATTGAGAACTGTTAGAGACAATACTTTGCATCATTTGAGAGAACAGCACGAAATTTTATATTTAAAGTATGGTGACTAGTTAAACATAACACTTGTTTGTCTGGGCAGAGAGTGTCTTAGTGACGAGTCGTGTTAGGCAAGTTAGTAAGAACGATTAAGCCTCACAACACTGGTGGAGGAAAAACATGAGTGACCAAAGTAATGTAGTGGAGTAATATAGTGGCACCTTGTTAAGTTATATATATCCCGCAGGCTAAACAGGCTAGACAGTAAAAGTCTGGAGTGACTAGTGAAGGGAAGTAGCTAAATTTGGTTATATACCTGATGATGGCAATTTAAGCAAGGTAGGAGTATATACCCCTTGCGACTGCATGGTTTTGTTTGGTTATGGTCTGAGCATTTTACGAGTTCTGGCAGTGGGCTCCCTTTTTTTTTTTTTTCGTTTCCCTTTCCCTTTCCTTTCGCACAATTTTAGCTTATAAACAGCATTGAGGTTGTACGTAAATTGGGCAGTGGCATGAGAAATGCACAGTGTTATACGTATAGTTATGCCAATCATCAGCCTGGCTATCCCGTTTTGTCATTAGAATATGGCGCAAAGAGAAGTTTAAAGGTAAGCTCAGACAGGTTTAGGTCATGCACATTTTTAATGTCTCAATAAAACAGAGAATGACAATAAATAAATAAAATCGCCTTAGCTTTTTGTATTATTTGCATACTATTGTATTATGTGTAATAGAAAACAAGCATTTTCAGAATTTTACATCTTAACCCTGACTACCCCATCCCATTCCCCATATATCCCTATTGTTAAATTATTCCTTATTGCTTGTTCCTGTTGCTGGTTCACAATGTCACAGCTCAGATACTGTTTCTAGCACAGAAAATGAAAAAAGTTAATTACTGTACTTTGTCTTCCAGTAGTTCCTAATCTATCCACAAGTCCCTTCTCTATCCATAAACCCTGACGTGCTTGGAAGGTTCCATAGTAAAGCATTAGAGGTTCCTCAGAGGCTAATCCCTGCCATGTCTGGGTAGTGTTAACGTCCATTATGTGTAGCACCTAGGATCTATTGCGTATTTTCTTCTAATGCTGGCCACTTTGGCCTTAAAGGAACACTAGAGCGTTGTGAATACAAAATTGAACTCCGAACACAATTGTGTGGAGATGTCGGTCTCTCCCCTTTCCGAGTGTGTGTTCATTATTTTCTTTTTTCTTTTTTTTTAACTTTTTTTTTTGCATTGCCAATGTTCCCTTTGCGCTGTTAACCTATCCTCTGCCACGATGGTTCTAGAAGAGCATTAGGGACCTGATGCACATGCATGTAAGCTTCCCCATAGGAAAGCACTGAATCAATACTTTCTTATGGGGGTTGCTGCATCACTTGACCGTTTTAATCCGTCAATGCCTCGAAAGTGCCTTTAGTGGCTGTCAGTAACATAGCTACTAGAGGTGGCCTTAACCATGCAATCAAAACATTGCAGTTTCTAAAACAATAACTAACTGCAATGTTATATATAATTTTTTATTTTTTTTGGCAGCATTAAGATGGAAGTGGCCTGGGTGACTTTAGTGGTCCCATATTTTTAATTCACAAATTAGGTGATAATTCACTAAAATCTGAATTGTGGCATTTGGGTGAAAAAATGGGTAAAGGGGGAGGAGGAGAAGATGTGGTCCTAAAAAGCCATTTAATCTGAATTTTGCTTTTTGGATTTTGATTATCTCTTATTAAGAGTTTTTGGCGTATAAGCCCCCTTAGTGAGTAACCCTGTAAATGGGCAGGTACAGCCTAAGACACTGGTCGCTCTTCAGCAAATGACAAAACAACCCGTCAGTGGCTCAAACCACAGTGTACTAACCTGCAGGCCGTCTTTGCAGCTAGTTGTGCAATCTGGAATAATTTAATATTATCAGGCTTTTTAGATGCCTACCAATCAGTTGGAGACAACTCCAAGCAGACTTGCTTGTGTGATGTTTATTTAATTACTGTCAAACTGATTTTGCAATTTGATCTATCTGCACCCTATCCTATCGCAGAAACCTTCAAGCCGTTGGCAGAGTTTTGTATGTGAAAGGGCAGACCCTGCTCTTATCTGTTTATTTCTGCCATGTTTTGGGCTCTTTATCTTGGTTTTCGATAGCACTTTGAAGACTTTACCCCCCTGAACATTGAACTTCATATAGATCTCGCAAAATACTGATCACATACAGTGATAAAGGGTTACTATGTCTCCGAAAACTAACCAAGATTCCATTACATAGACCTTTAACCTGTCAATTAAATTGGAAGTGTTTTGTATTTCTGTGTGGCCCATTTTTCCCATTGCATTCTTTCCAGTAAAGACTATTGGTATATGTGTTTTAATTTCACTAAGTAACAGAAGTGCATATTACATTTCTATTTGTGAGATATACATTGGTTGCCTGACTGTGCCTTTACAGACTGCTCTTATGTCAGTGAAGTATGGCAATGTACAGTAAACACTATTCTGTAAAGTAATCGTTTTATAAACCAGAAAATAATCTTGTCTGAGACTAAACACATTCCCACCCTCTCCAAATTTTACACAAAACATACTTGTGCTTAATTTTTGGAAATTACAGTTTTAAAATGGCATTGTCCAAAATATCGATGGTTTCTACTACCTATAGAATGAGAGACCACATTTAAAATTTAATATTTTTGTTTAAAAGACACTTTTAATGCAGATCTGTGTGTAAAATTTAAAAAAAATTTTTCATGTTGATGGGGTGTGCATGAAAAGTGCTCCCCCTCTGTCCCTTTTGTTTTTAAATGGGGCCTATGCACATATAACAGCCTGCCACTGGATTTTAACCCCTTAAGGACACATGATGGAAATATTCCATCATGCTTCAATTTTATTTCTAAAGTTGTCCTTAAGGGGTTAATTAATTTATTGTTACTCTCTATGGTTGCTGCAATTGCCCCTGGTACTGCACTGCATGTGTTGGGCCATTCATTCCTGAAGCAGCACATTAATTCTGACTAATTTCTCTGCTGCAGTAAATGCATTCTCCACATTTCATGTGCTGCCAATAGTATCAACAATTGGAAGTAAGGAAAAACCTGAATTCCTCAAACTAAAAGGGTTTATTTATTAAACTATTGTAGTGGATTTGTATGGAAAGAGTGGGGTTTGTTTTTACTAATTTACTGTAACATGGGCTGTATTATATCCATTTTCTTTGCACACAAGTTTATTATCCCAGAGTAAATAGCTGCAGTGCAGTTAGTGTTTGAAGGGTTAATAAGTGCAGTTCCTTGTGCTGGCCAGCAGGGTGTGCCCGAGGGCCGGAAGCACAGTATTAAATGTCCGTGTGTCTCCCAGGGCTGGCTCAGTGTGCTGAACTCTGCTGGCAGCTCAGAGGTCTGGCCGGACCCAGACAGGTTCCTGGAGCCAAGATCGGTCTGCAGCACAACATCGGCCTCGGGGGAGCAGCGGTGGTCACTCTGTACAGGATGGGATTCCCAGGCTCTGCATCCAGGTGAGAGAGACAGGGGCTGCAGGCTGCCATGGCCTTATTATACAAGATACATTGTATCTCTCTATCCCATGGCCTTATTATATAATGTATATTGTATCTCTCTATCCCATGGCCTTATTATACAAGATACATTGTATCTCTCTATCCCATGGCCTTATTATACAAGATACATTGTATCTCTCTATCCCATGGCATTATTATACAAGATACATTGTATCTCTCTATCCCATGGCTTTATTATACAAGATACATTGTATCTCTCTATCCCATGGCCTTATTATACAACATACATTGTATCTCTCTATCCCATGGCCTTATTATACAAGATACATTGTATCTCTCTATCTCATGGCTTTATTATATAATGTATATTGTATCTCTCTATCCCATGGCCTTATTATACAAGATACATTGTATCTCTCTATCTCATGGCTTTATAATATAATGTATATTGTATCTCTCTATCCCATCGCTTTATTATATAATGTATACATTGTATCTCTCTATCCCATGGCTTTATTATACATGATACATTGTATCTCTCTATCCCATGGCTTTATAATATAATGTATACGTTGTATCTCTCTATCCCATGGCCTTATTATACAAGATACATTGTATCTCTCTATCTCATGGCTTTATTATACAAGATACATTGTATCGCTTTATTATATAATGTATACATTGCATCTCTCTATCCCATGGCCTTACTCTATAATCTTGTATACAGTGTGTAATAAAAATATCTCTATCCTATGGCCTTGTATACAATTTATATAAAAATATCTCTATCCTATGGCCTTGTATACAATTTATATAAAAAAAAAAAAAATCTCTATCCTATGGCTTTATCATATAATGTATTGCATCTCTCGATCCCATGGCTTTATTATGTAATCCTCTTATACAATGTATATCTTTTTATATAAATATCTCTATCCTATGGCCTTACTGTATAATATAATATAATATTATTTATATAAATATCTCAATCTCATGCAGGTGTCTGCAGTGTTTTATAAAGATATTATACAATACTGTATATTTCCAAACACCCAGCACAGAATTGCAGAGTAAAATCACTCTGATATATCAGATGTAGCTGTTATCTTAATGCATTTATAAATAGCAGACACTTGCCAGATTGACGGCTAATAACTACCAAACAATGGTTGCGGTTTGCCCACCCATGGCCAGTTAAATCATTGGGCTTGGTGTTACTTTAAGGTCACTATACCCTGCAGGTGGGAGAATCATGTGGTATGGCTGGGAATTGTATTTATAAATTTATTTTATTATGGTTTCCTTTTGTTATCCATTCATGTATTAGATGGGTGTATGAATGAATGGCTTGTATGCAGGCAGCAAGCTGCTCCCTCTGTCACGTGTCTACACTGGGTGGAGAGTTGCATTGTGGGAAGATATTGACATAACTTGCATTGACACATGCAGAGCCTGATGTTACTGGGACAGAGTTCAGTTTGTTTTACATTCTCGCGCAGTAGAGTGATATTTATATTTGTACAGGATTTTATTCCTTTAGAAGTACAGTATTATTAGGCAAGCATTATAAGGTACATGTAAACTATAAACCGGTTTCAAAACCTCACGTGAAATAAATAAAGCTGTGCGAAATTGCAGGTGTTCACAGCACTCAACATTAGGGCATGCCAGAAAATGTTCCCTAAAGAGGGGACAATTTGTTCCTTGGAACAAAACAATGTCAATGTGGCTTTCTGGGGGAAGAACAAAAAATATCCCAGGTCTCTTCAATGGGGGCCATTACTACACCGGTACCTGAGAAGATAAGACATTGGTTATCAGGATTTGATTGTAACTTACTTGGGTGCTCTTTAAGAGAAACCATCATTCTAGGTAAAGCACAACACTGGGTTAAATCAGTGGTTCAGGGATGTCAAAAATACAGGACATAATTTATTTTTATATATTTTTCTCTTTAATCTGTGCAATGAGGCTTTTCCCAGTTTACATCAGGATTAACATTCATAAAGGCAGCACCCCCTCCCCCTCCATATTGATTACCTTTACTCCTACAACTCTGGCCATCTCCACTCACAGCTCCATGATGTTAATTGTATGTGTTGTATAAAATTACTGCACTTGCCAGATGCTAATGTGTGCAAGGAAGAGCAGGGATATGATTTGGAGGCTGGAACAAGGAGGGGGGGGGGGGATCTCAGTAGAAGCTGCAATATTGGGTTGTGGGAAAAACGTTGAACTGAGTTGACAACTGACCTAACTGTATTGCTCTGTCCGTTGTACTTTTTATTAGTTGTTTGAGTTCATAAGACTAAACACAGCCCTAAACAGCAAACTTCTAAAGTACTAACTTAACTAATAGTCACACCATACAGCTTATGCAGTGTGTTGCTCTGTATACACCTATCTTACTACACAGAACTTTTCAAAATGCTACTTACAAATATATGGCAAATAACACCTGTTTCTTATCCGCAGTACGTCGCGTATCCAGTTGGTGCCAACAAGTGCCGAGGACGGATTTAAATGTCAGTTTGTGTTTAAGGAGATTGAGAAGAAGCTTGAAGAGGTAACGGAGTGCTAGAATAGTCCCATTTCTCATGTATAATGTTTTAGAAGTGCTCAGTTAAGGTGTAATCTGTAACACTGTAGCAATGAAGTGATACGAACAGTCAGGGTGAGACCATGGCATTAGCCCCATTAATGTGCTAGTTACAAACTCGTATCAAAGATCGCAGTCCTAATCACTAGGCAATCCACTGATAAGCTGTACAAGGTCTTCGTTCTGATCATAGTCCGGTTTCCTCTCGTGCCCTGGAATAAACTGTTACAAACTGATTATACACTGCACATATAGGTGAAGGTTATTTGAAATCTCTATACCTGAATCCAGCAAGTATATTAAAACATTGGCATTACTTATGACGTCTGTATATCCCTCTCCTCCATTCATATAACATCAGGCTAAGGAGGCCCGACACCTTTTCTTTAGGATGGAAAATTAAAGGGAAAGTCTGTCAAATGCATACTGTTTTCAATGTGCTTGACAGTAAAAATATATACAATTACATTTCAACATTATTTTCCTAAAATCCTGCCTCTTCTGTAAGTTCTGCAGCTAAGTTGATCGATTCCCTTTTTTTTTTTTTTTTGTTGTGCACAATATTAACAAATAACCTTGGTGCGCCACAACAGCGACATCAGGGTGAATTGGTGAACATTTGCAATACAAGTTGTGGCATTCGCTAGACAGGCACATTTTTATGTTAGAGAGGTCAGTATTACAATAGTTTAGGTTCTCGTTTAAGTGGGTTAGCGAGGTGCACATGTCAGGAAAGGGTAAACAGAGGAGTGACATAGAGACGAAGCATGACATGTGCAATCATTGTATGAACACGGCTTTACAACATAGTATGTGCTAGGTTGATTCTATCCTATCTCTTGTCTGGCTAGGCAGGGAATAAGTGGATGCAAATTACGCTAGACTTAAACCAGAAATAAGCCTACAGGAAGCGTATAACAGGCATTTGTGAAAATACTGGTGGTTGTGTATATGCTTGCCGCTTCGTGTAGTAGGATGACCCCCAGGACCCGCTTGCCTTTCAGCAGGCGTATAGAGTGACTCTCTGGGTTGCTCTCCTTCAGGAGATTCATTTGGTGTCGCTTCAATAAAAGCCTCCAATTTGGCCCAGAAATCAGCAAAGGTCGCATCCAGTCGCTCCAGCACATATTCAGCCGCACCTCCTCGTGTCTCCATGGGCTGATTCAGACCCGGCTGGTGGAGCAGAGACCTGGCCGCCATCTTAGGTGAGTCAGCCGCTATCAGGCGTCGTGGTATGATAGCTGTGTAGGGTCGACAGAGGTGCCAGCCAGTGGATACCGGGATAACCCCCACCGGTCCGGGGGGGGAGAAGATAGCTTTGTTCACTGGGACCACATAGTAAATGAAAGAGCTCGGGCTTGTGTAGGCTGCTGGCCACTACCAGGATGTACTGGGTCCAGACAGGCTCACAACAACTATCCTCCGGTGCACCGAAGACCCATTGGCAATATGAGTACTTATTGTGGTCTGATTGATGGGTGGCCCGGGTGTAAATCTTGATTTATTGGGGCCAGATGCAGGAGCTCTTGCAGAGCATGTCTGGCTTCCTTGGCAGTCAAGCTCCGCCCCCAAGTGCACACATTTTAAAGGAATCTTCCAGTGAAATTTTAATTTCTTCTTCTTTCTTTAAATCACTTATAGACTGCTTTGCACTTACAGGCAACTAACTGAGCAAGAGATCAGAACTTCTAAAGTAAACACACTTTCCTAAGCTTTGAAAATGAAACCCAAGTGTGTAGTGTGGCTTTGGCCAACACTTTGGAAACAAGTGCTTTAATTTTTGCACTACAGCGAATTGAGTGATCCATAAGAACCAAAACCACTTTAGCTTGGTTGTTTCGGTGGAGTGTCTCTTTAATGTTTCTTATCACAAATGATTTCTTGTGATATTCTGCTACAATTAATTTGTGTAGGTCAGTGGTGTAATGTAGTGAGGACCCTGGTGCAAGATATAATTTAGGCTCTCCCCTCTAGCACAAGTATAGCCAAAATAAATATCCCCATCTGTAGTACAACTCACACAATGCTATGCCAGCTGGGGGTATACTATTTGCCCATTCTTGCAGTGTTTGTATGTAATCATGTTTTTGTATAGAGTAAGTGTGTGCGTATGTAGGGTTGCATTTGTATGTACTGTTGCCATTACAATGCAGTAGTGTACTTCTATGTAATGTGTGCATTTAAATGCAGGGGTGCATTTGTTGTGTAGTGTTGGGTTTGAGTAAAGGGGCGTTCGTATATTGTAGTGGAGCTTCAATATTCCAGTTAAGTATCTCTGCTTAAAGGGACACTATAGTCACCTGAACAACTTCAGCTTAATAAGGTTGTTCAGGTGAGAACTATAGCTCCCTGCAGCCTTTCTCATGTAAACACTGTATTTTCATAGAAAATACAGTGTTTACATTGGAAGCTAGGAACACCTCCAATTGCAGTCACTTAGACTGCCATCAGAGGGACTTCATAGTTCATGAATGCCTAATTCGCATTTATCATGTTTGACGTCTTCACGCTTGGGTGAAGACCTCAAACGTGCTATCAGCAGACAGGAGATAGGAGGCACTGTGAACGCGCCTCCTATGCCCTGTAGTAACCCAGGAGCCTGTCAGTGATGAGAGCAGACAGTGTGGGAGATAAGATCTCCTGCACACAGTGTAGGCTGGAGCTGACGGGCAGGAGGATGCAGAGATCTGACTTCAAACAGTAAGTACACTTATTTTTCACATTTTAGAGTGAGAGGTGGAGATAGAGCTGGAAAGAAATGGATAGTGTGTATGTTTAACCATATTTATTTAAAATCTGTGTGTTTTTATACAAACCCTATAGAGATTTCTCTATTATTACTGTTTGCATACTAACTTTGGGCTGGAGGGTTGCCGTAGGAGGGGGGCGGGCATAGACAGAAAGATGAGCTCTTGCGGTAGAGCGCTGAGTTCATTCATAGGGCGGCATTTGATGCCGCTCTATGAAGAACACGATTGGTGCCGCGCAAAGTCGCGCATGCCCACCAGATTGCTAGGACTTCTTCTCTACGAAGCGTCTGAACCCTGCCACTTTGTCATTTTGACGAAAAAGGGGACGCGGCCTGACAGGGATCTCTGTGCTGGAATGGAGGTAAGTGTGGTGTTTTTTTTCTTCTATGATAAAGACTTGGATTGATTTATTTTTTTTTTTTATTATTTTTTTTTTTTTATTTTTTTAAATGGGAAGTTCATATAAAAGCAAGAAAGACGGCTAGGGGACCTGTCTGTCTTGCTTTTATATGTTGACTATAGTGATCCTTTAATTCCCTTTGTAGCTGGAAGAAATGCTGTTTAGTAAATATAGCTCTTTCCCCCAGTAACTAGACAACCCAAAGTTCTGGGAGTACAACTGATTTTTATTGTCACAGTACAGTCTTATATACACCTATTCAACTCAGAGTAAGCTCGCCCTGGTGTTTCTGTGTCTGGAAGACAAGAGTTAGTACTTGCTAAAACAAATTATCTCCCGGACACAGAGGACACCGCACAACTCCATAAAAATAAGCAGGAACACCAGAACATTATATATCCCCAGATAGCTCTGATCCGAGCACCCATGTTGGCAAAATAGTGCCCGGATCTATGGAGAATAGGCAAATCGCCACCCGGGTAAAAATTTGACTAGCCACTAACTGGTCCATGCAGAAGAGTTCCAGAGTAAGTCTCTTGGGTCAGTCAAGTATTGGGAGCTCGTGCAGACAATAAAGGGATCCTTCTGACTCTCAGGGAGCGATTTCTTGCCTTCAGTCTATAGTGCCTCTGCCTCAAGTAGCACTGGCGGGTCTGTCAGGAAGTGGGAAAAATGAAGTAAAAGTTGGCCAGGAAATGTGAGTAGGCGTGGCTGAGCTGGAGTGCCATAAGTTTATTACCAAGTCTCGCTGGAGTCCCGGTCAGTCGGGGGAGAGAGGCACTCTCGAGTGTTTAGCATGGAGAGGGTAGGAAAGCTCGCTAGGGGTAGTGAATTAGTCTTTTGATGAAAAGATGGGGTAATAACACAGGGTTTGCCATATATATTTTTGGCATATAATTCACGGGAGTGTTTGTAATATATTCGTTTTAAATGCAGAGGTGTTTGTATGTAGTGATGGCTTTTAAATGAGTGTACATTTGTGTTTTGGTGTTTGAATGAAGGGATGTGTTTATACATAACTTTGGCATTTGACTGCAGGAGTGTTTGCATTTAGTGTTGGCGTTTGATTGCTGGGATGCATACGCATATAAACATACCCTGCTACATACATATTTACACAGATGCACACTCATACACTGACACACACGTATGTCGAAGCTATAATATTTTTAGCCACCTACCTATTAACATACCTTTTTTATGTGCTTGAGCGGGGCTTCCAAGGGTCCTGCTGGATGAGGTTGATAGTAGTGTGGAGCTGGGTCTCTTTGCTCTCCTCCTCCTGCAGTTCTTCCTCCATCTCTGTCCTGCTCTGTGTGTAGCGGCAGCCTGGGAGAAAGGGACAGCCTCCCATGCTGCCCATACTACAGGGACCCGGTTGCTCTCTTCAAGGGCTGCAGTGCTCGACTGGCCCCTGTTCAGCAATACCCATCGGGTGGCCCTAAGTGTATGGGTTACCAGCTGTAGTTCTGCCACTGGTGTCGGTGTACCTGATTTGCAATTTTATTAAAGTTTCTAAGAGTAGGGCTACCCCAAGGGAAAACCTTGCTTGGAAATGGAACCAGAATGTGCCACAAGAAGATTATGGGAAAAGACAGGTAATCTGAATAAAGCACCCAGCCCATGCAGTAGTCCTATATCTGTGTAATGTTATCAATACATTTTAAAGTTACTTTTCTCATTAGACTAGGAGTGAAAAATGTATTCGTCTTGAATGGTAGATCCAGTTTGCTTTGTTGGCATAACTCTGTCCTTTTTACAATACAGTATATATACATCGTTATATTATTGCGCTTAACTTCTTGTTTGGTTTGACTACTGAAGGAAGGAGATCAATTCGTAAAGAAGATCGGTGGTATATTTTCTTTCAAAGTGAAAGACGGGCCTGGGGGCAAAGAAGGGACCTGGGTGGTTGATGTGAAGAATGGCAAAGGATCTGTGTCCACTAGCTCAGGTGGGTTCCAAAACATACATGTGTCATGAACTAGAACATACAAGGATACAGCTGATTGTTAAAGGGCTTGGGGTTCTGGTTGTTGAATGAGAATGTTTTATGTCTTGCATTGTAAGCTTGCTTGATCAGGGCTTTCATTAACAATTGTGTATGGTCATTTTTATATGCCAATTACCTGTCAAATATCAGCATTCTAGAACTGTAAAGCATTGCAGAATATTTTGGCACTATATACCTAATAACCCATAGTAATGTCCACCTCTTTCAGATAAGAAGGCAGATTGTACCATCACTATGTCAGACGCTGATTTATTGGCCTTGATGACTGGGAAACTCAACCCTCAGACGGTGAGCATTCAAAATGTGTTGCATGAATGAAAAGCTCAGAACAGGATTTGAAAATAACAGATCTCAGATTGGCTAGTAGAAATTTTCTGTACATTTTGTCATTTTTTGAGTTGTAGGGAATTCGAAGTGAAATTAAAATTCTAGATCAATACACCCACATTAGAAATATTCTCAAATTAACTGTTTTAAGTTTGCATACCTCCCAACTTTGAGAGGTATGATTTGTGTAACAAAGGGGTGAGAATGGATTACCAGCCTGGAGTGAGTGCACCCAAGACTCATTAACGGCCACTCTGGCCAGCACACTTGGCGTTATTGAAGTTCTGTCTGTCTATGGGGTCAGAGCTCCAAAGGAGGTTGAGCACTTTCTATTAATGAATCAATTGTCTCTGAAGTTTTAAGTCATGGAATAAACTTTCCATTCTAAACCCTGAATAGTCGAAGTGACTTATATTTTGTCAACATAGACAAACTCAATATGTCAAAAATAAATAAATCCCATTTGATTGCTTCCTCCTTTAGTTATTGTAGCACTTTTGGGGGCCCATTTTAAAATCTCCTCCTCCATTGTCCTGGAATACCATTTAACACTATAATAGAAGCATTGTCTTTGTCCTCTGCAAGGGATTCTGATGCGTCTCTGCTTTCTGAATGCAGTAGCTGCTGCACACTATAGAAACAAAGAATGTACTGAACTTAGTTTTTGAGATGTGGCATGCCATTCCATTATTTGGGAATGTGTCTTTAATATACCATTGTCTTTAATATTCTTTCTCTTCCAGGCATTTTTTCAGGGAAAGCTGAAAATCGCTGGAAACATGGGAATGGCCATGAAATTACAGAGTTTGCAGCTGCAACCTGTGAAGGCGAAGCTGTGAAGAGATCCATGGTTGGACCCCTTTTTGATTGCAGCCGGGATTGACTTATGTAGTGGATCATAATTCTATCTTCCTCCTCCATTTCCAGACAGGCATTGTGAAGCAGCATCGGTCCGGGAGAAGTGGGATGCATGTGTACTGGATGAACACACTTGTCTCTCTCTCTCTCCCTCCCTCTCTTTGGGTATCTTCCTGTTTGTAAAGCATGAGTATTCTCTAATTATACAGGATTGCTTGTGCATCGTACTGGGAACATGAATGTCCTTTTTTTGTACACACTTCTTGAATACATGCATTGACCCGTGCTCTTGCATGATCTCTTTGCATTTCCCGTATGCCTGTATATGTGGATTACTCTGCCCCACATCTGCAGAAACACATGTGATACATGCCTGTCTAGCACTTAAAGGGTCTGTAAACTGATCATGGGTTCCCATCTATGATCAACCATTTCACCTCTGTGGACAGTCTCTTTTTGCTTCAAGTAACTCTCTGGTCCTTTTTTCTAATAGAGTATTAATCTAATTTCAAAAGACAAAAAAATTACTTAATTTGAATAACTGTACCAGCTAAATACTGATTGCCCTGGTTAAACAGAGCAAACTGTTCCTCGGGAAGAGACTACCAGATCTACCCTTTTTGGGGGGCTTTATAGAATACTTGACTAATTTGTTAATAGTATGAAAATATTAACTTTAATAAAATCTCAGATTTCCATGTGTTTTTTGTTTTTTACCAGTGTGTATTTTGTGCTCCTTACATCCTTTTACTTGGGAAGATGTAACAAAGAAATGGCAAAAGTGGTTAAAGTAGCTGAACTGGAGAAGTTTGTCTATTTTGGTCTTAAACTTCTGAAACCAAGCCTTTTTTTGGGGGGGAAGGGGGCAGGGGGTGTTAATGTGTTGTCTTAACCAACAGAGATTAGGAGACCCCCAGGAACTTCTTGTCTACTTGCAACCACTGTAGCTATTCTATCAGTATCCAGCAGTCCTAACTTGATCAAGCAAAGCATTTTGGAACCAAATCCCTCTTGTGGTAATTATTGGTAATGCAGAGTGGACAGAAACATATGATGGTCTAGCTATGTATGAATTAAGTCCTCTATACCCAGTGTTTTTTTTTCCTGGATGCCAAGAACCCCTTTCATACAATAGTTAAGGCAAATTGTAGTGTGTAACAATTTTGTACTCAGGGGTTAAACTCTTCCTGTGTATTGGACCATATTTGACTATATAGACTATTTGTCTGCTTCATTCAGCTTATTTATATCTACTCTACTGGCTGTCTTCCTGCTTACCCCCCACCCCCTTTTTTCATCAGCAAAATTGGCTCAAACAAAAAAAATGTTCTTGAATTGAGCTGCATGTGTACTTGGCCAATAGTTGATCCTCTTAGCAGTAGATGTCCATTATCATCATGTCTGGCCAATACCACTCTGATATTCAGGGTGCATTAGTGTTTCCTCAAACTAATGGGATACCAGGCATAATGCACAATGTGATGGTGATATTAAATATGATACAACTGGGATCGAACCCAGTTATCGAGCTGTGATTTCTCATTAGAATATGTCCTGGAAAGGCTTTGTCTGATCCGGGAAAATATTTGGTGGCTGTTTGATAAAAGGATGTCCGAGCAATAGTGTCTGGTTCTGAGCTTTATTCAGGTAAGAGAAAGTTCCCACATTTTCAAGATCAGGTCTAAGGCTAAATTAACATGAAATTCAGATGGAGTCACAAGTCCTCCATAGTGTGTGTGTGTGTGTGTGTGTGTGTACCAAGAAACGAGCAGGTTTCAGCAAGACAGGAAAAGCATAAGAGATGCGCAGTTCTCTGATTTAATTTTAGTTGAGTAAAAATATTTAACAAAAAGGGAAGGAAATCACAGTGAACTCCACATATAGCAATGTGGATAACTGAATTTCTTAAAATTAAAAAGCAAAATGGGCCGTGAAATTATGGCATCTCTGAAGAAGAGGAAAAAATTGGGTGTCAAACAATCGTATTTATACTATATAAATCCCAGATTCTGCACAACACATCAAACTCTAATACAGTGCACTATGTATTCAGCAGAATATCCAGTGTAAACAATGGACACCATATCAAATCTAAATAATACAAACATTATTTTTTATTCATATATATTACTGTAAACCAGGGTATGCAACCTTCAGCACCCTAGATGTTGTAGACTACATCTCCCCATATGCTTTGTTAGCATTAGTCTTGTAAGAGACTTATAAGAGATGTAGTGCACATCTGGATTAAAAAAAAAAAAAAAATAGTTTTTGTTCTAACAAATCCAAATGTTTAATAATTTTCACGCAAAATACTGTACCCTTCATGTGTTTAAAACTGGATGAGCACACTACATCTGGCACACATTGTACGAAGTCCAGGATCTGATTTATAAAGTCCAAATATGTTGCTGTGGAGTGTATAGAAGATAAAAAAATGTCCACAAATAGAACAATAGCATTTGTGTTAAAGCTAATTTAGAGCCCATAGTCTATATATTTGAAATGTTTGTTTCATGGCTCTTACTCCAGCCATCAGATCCATAACTAAATGTTTGATTTAGCACAATAAATGTACACCCTGCAGGCACAGCACGGTATATCCAGTCCATTCACCAATCCAAAACCAGGCTTTACATTGAGGCAAAAAAACAACCTTTTAGTAAATATGAGGTTTGAAACTGCAGATGGATTTCGGTTATTTTTGCCAACCAGGTAGTATTATTTTTATTTATTTTTTTAAATAAAAAAGGGGAAACATGTCTGTGCAAAGAATAATCTCGTGATTATTTTTACCTATTAAAAAGGATGGTGGATCTTTGGAGGGGGCAGCAAGTTTACATTGAGTGGCCGTTAACCTTATATGGTACTTACAGTGGGATCTGAGCTGTGGAAAATGATTTTACTATGCAAACTATGTCCATTCCATTATTATAAACATTCAGCACAGTATGTACCGGTATGTTACATTACTGCACAGGACACGATATTACTACATTCAGCACAGTATATGGAGTCCATTACTGTACACTTGGAGATTCAAACAATTTGAGTCCACTGCTGTATACTCAAAGCACTTTATATTCAGTCCTTTACTGTATTCTCTAGGCACAGTATATCAGGTTTACTGTACATTCCAGACACAGCACTGTATTTCAGGTCCATTACTGTACATTCCAGACAGAGCATAGTGTATTTAGTCCCTCACTGTACTCGCTATGCACAGCACTGTATATCTGGTCTACTGTACACTCCATGCACAGTACTGTAGATCAGGTCCATTACTGTACTTTCCATATGCAGCACAGTATATCTGGTTTAATCTACACCAGCTATTCCCAACTGGGGTTCCACCGCGATTTTTGCCACAACCAAGATGGCCGCCGCTACCTGCTGTTCCCGGAAGGTCAAAAACGGCAGAGATTGCGCAACAGCGTTCTTATTAAGAGATCGCAGGAACTTTGAAATTCTTTTGTTTCTCATCCTTTTCTTTTTTTGTTAAACTTATTTAGAAATAATTTAATATATATATATATATATATATATATATATATATATATATATATATATATATATATATATATATATATATTCTGCTTACTATCTTTATAAATCAGTTTTATACACACAAAAAACATTGCTTTTGCTACAAAAATCTGAGCTGTTAGCAAAACAGTGCAGTCAAAGTGCAGTGCAGGCAAAACAGTGCAGTCAAGAAGTGAGATCTCTATTAAAGTGTTCTTTAAACTCCCAAGACTGAGCCAAAATCCTACTAATGTTAAAATCTTTCAAAGAGCTTTATAAAAATCGCCATCCTTTTGCAGTGATTTACTGAGATCTGTTTCAAAGTGTTCAAATCGTTTTGCTGTAAGACTGACTCCAAATCCTACTGAAGTTAAGTTTTATAAAATCAGCATGCTTTGCAGTCAGGTAGTGAGATCTCTTAAAGAGTTTGTTTTACTCCAAGACTGAGGCATTTAGGGGGGAAGGGGGGCATGGCTAGCCAGCAACCTGAATGGCAGTTATTTGAGTGAGCTCTAGGGACACTTGGTGTAAAATTGAAAAACATTGCTTTAAAAACATTTCCGGGGGGGGGTGGGGGGGGTGGGAGGGCTTGGACGCCAAGTGGGACAGTTGCAGCTTGCTTGAGCTTGGAGGCTCGGAATCAGCGGCCTGCATCACCCGCTCCTAGGGCACAATCACCAGTTAGAGCTCTGGCTCGGCACCCCCACTTAGGCGGAGAACCAAGAGGGTCCATGTACCTGCCCGCAGTCCACATACCCAAATGAGGCAGGTTCCATGGTCCACGTTTCCGAGACTCTCTCAATAGCGGCACGACCACAGACCCTTACAAGAGAGGCACTGGCTCCCTGCATGACCCGGGCAAGAGGTGGTGAGAAGGTATGGAGTACTAAACGGCCCGCTCGGACTGGCAGCAACACTCACCTGCCCTATACTCACCATTCATGCACTCTGCCTGTCCTGAGTCAATGTGGCCAAGAAGAACCCAACTTGAAAACATACCCCCTGCATTACTGGACTTTGTCCTGATCTGGGCCTCAAAGGACTTACAATCCCAGTTCCAGTGGCTTTGCAGACTAGGCATCAGCTGATCCCAGGCAACAAGGGGGGCATTTTGTTTGTTTATTATCTTTCATGTGTCCTGGGGATGGCTCCTGTAGTCTCACTTTCCCCTCTATTTTAGTCTTGTATAGGACCAACAGTTACCGCTGTATGACAATATGACAAGCCTGTTTAATTACAGATATATCTAACCTAACACCTCTCATGCCACCCATACTGAAAATGATTAGTCTGCAATATAAATCCATTGTACAGCGCTACGGAATTTGTTGGCGCTATATAAATAATATAATAATAATATAAATAGTCATACCCTCCTATTAGATTAACTAAGCATGTTTTTCACTGTTTTTGTTGATTGTTAATGCACTTTTCTTTTACTTTTATAAAAAAAATGCAACATCTTCTGATATCTTATATACAAAGAGCAATAGGTGAGACATCTCATGTAATACCTGATGATGTTTACGACCCTATAGCCTATATGCTTTCACAGAAATGTCCCCGCAATGTTAGTATACTGTTCTTGGCGGAGCGGGAAGCCACGAAGTGAAAGTAACGAATGCGTCTGCGATCCCTATACCGCCAACATTGATGGAAACTGACATATATGATGACAGACAGGCTAATGCAAAGCTGCGGCTGTCTCCTGCGCCGAGTATAACAGCAGGGAGCCATGCCCATAGAGAGCCGAAGGAGCCCAGGGAGAGCACTGTGAGAACCAATAATGAACAAAATATACAAAGATTAATGAAGGGACCCCAGGCTCTTTAGCAACAATGGAGCAAATATGGGAAATGCTCCAAATTGTGAGACAAAATCTAAGAGGATATAAGAAGATTTCAGGGCAGATTTTTCACAAATTAAATACAGTGTTGCTGATTCTGATGATGTAACATTATTGCAACATGAGTGAAAGCTTACGGAACTTACTGAACAATTTAATTATAGTCACCTAAATTACTTTAGCTAAATAAAGCAGTTTTAGTGTATAGAATAGATCATTCCCCTGCAATTACACTGCTCAATTCACTGTCATTTAGGAGTTAAATCACTTTGTTTCTGTTTATGCAGTCCTAGCCACACCTCCCCTGGCTATGATTGACAGAGCCTGCATCAA